ATAATATTGCAAATATACTAGCTGTTTGGTATATTTTTCCTTGGCTCGGTTTATCATTTGCGCCTTAATTTATTTCAGCTAGTGATGAGCACAGCCTTCTATCGGGACTTGACAATACGTGTACAATAGTATCGTCCAAAAGGCGCCAAACGTTTGAATTTAAAATTTCTTACAGGCGCTGCTCTTAATAAATGTGCGAATCAATTTAGTGTCATAATTTTTAATAACTATTATAATTCAATTTAATTATTAAATTCCCTAGTAACTGACAAACTTTGTTGCACATTAATGGAACCAAATGCCTGTCAATTGTCAATGTTTTCTTTTTAATAAAACCTTCCCAGTGATCCCTTTGCGAGTAAATTGAATACACCTCATATTTTAAATGGAAACAACTGTTTTTATGACTTGTACTATACTATTATATAATAATCAATTACATAATTTAAAATTTTAAGACAAGCTAATGTAATTTGTTGATTTTGTTTTTGTTTTTTTCGTGTTTTAAATATAATATATATAAACATTTTTGTTAACAGATGTGTATGTGTGTTGTTGTGTTTTTAGTTGTTTTGTTGTAAAATACATAATCATAATCATAATCATAATTATAGTTTATAATTGTAATCATATTTTCTTTCGTATATAATAACTTTTGCGCCTAACATCTAATAATATTCAAATATAAATTTTTCCACTCTGAAATTAGTTTTATTGTTTAGTTCCTTCTCGCTTGCTTTCTTTGTGTATTTCTTTCTTTCTTTTTTTGGGTTTCTTTATTTATTAAATTAATTTTTTATTCACTAACCAGCGCCATTTCGCGCGCCGTGGGCGTCGCCAGCGACTGGCCGAGCGCCGAGGCTGCCGAAACGGCGCTGCTCAGCCCGTTGTCCTCGTCGCCGTTGTCCGTTCGCGTCGCTGCAGCGATTGCGGCAGCGGCTGCCTTTTTGCGCTCTACTACATCATCCTGATGCCGCACATCCTCATCATTGTTGTCGTCATCGTCATCGCCRCCCCTATCATCATTGTCGGCTTGTTCATGCGCCTCATCGGCAAAGGACACTTCGGCTGGACTGTTATTGCTATCACCATTTGGCGTCGCTGTCGACGCCTCCGCTAGATCATGCTGATTATTGTTGGCTTTGTCTTCACTGGCGGACTTATTATTATCACTATCAGCATCAGCATCGCTCTTGGGCGTCGGCGTCGGAGCTGGCGCTGGCGCTGGAGCAGCGGTTGCCTCCTCCTCGGGTATGTCCTCGATAAGGCTGCGGTTGCCAGAGCTGGCCGCCGATGGACTACGCGGCGGTGCCGCTGTCGACTCCGATATCGACTCCGCCTCAGCTGCTCGGCGCAAGAGCACCGGATCAGAGGCACGTAGTGAGCTCTCGGAGCCACCGACTCCCTCGCCGCTCGGTCGCAGCACCAGATAGAGCAATATGTCTGACAGCGAGATGATGCCAATCACCTTGCACTGATCGTCGACAACGACCAGGCGATGCACCTCGGCGCGCACAATGCGCTCCATGATCGTGTAGAGCGACTCGTCCAAGTTGCACTTCTGCACGCCCTCGAACCACTCGTTGCGATGCTC